TTCCATGTGGGCTTTGTTGCTTCTGAGCTAGATGGCCACTTGTTTACCTTCAAGCTTTTAAGACCCCAGACGCTATATCTTTGCATATTTTAAATGCAATTTTTGTGGTAAAATTAGGTGCCTCAGCTGATATTTGGGTCGGCTTATACTCGAGTATATATGTAGTTATTTAGGCAACACCCTGTTATGTCTGGAGAGTATGCTGTCTTGGATTTTAAGGTGCATCAACTGGTAACTATTTTAGCAAATGACTTGTCAGTTGTAAAGTTTCGAAGGAGATGCCTAGTTTGACTTTCCAATTAATTAAAGCACAGCAAATATGGTTCTTAAACTCTGATGCTCTTGAAAAAGGAGATGCTTCAGGCAGCCAAGTTTTCTAGTCATTCTTTTCAGCAGTAGTATCTTTGATAGTTCTTGAGGAGAGATACAGAAAAACAGATACGAATCTAACCATTCATGGAATTTCCATTTCATCTTAATGGAAATCCTTTTTAAAAGATATATTCTTTCGAACCTTCCTAAAAAATTATCCTTTTTGTTGATTCATCCTCATGACTGTGATTACAACATAGCACGTTCTCTTATTATAGGAAGTAAGTCATGTATGCAGCTGCAGAGTGGGCATGGAGATGTGAGATGAGCCCTGGGGGGGTATGACTTGGAGAACCCAGATTCCAGTCCTTGTTCCTCCAGTCCGTGGTGCTGGGATTTAACTTCTGTTGAGTTTTGGTTTCTGCTTCTAGAGTTTGGAATAGTACCTCACACTCTGAACACCTCCTGAAACTTGGGTTTTATGACAATGAGTCAGTGTGTCTTATGTAGGTTGGTATTGTAAGAGAAAGGTCATGTTACTTTAAATGACCCTAGAGTGTGGTTACTTTAAATGTTACTTTAAATGACCCAGTTGGTGTGGTTTGTTAGGCTGAGTTTTCTAGAGAAACAAAATCAGGAATGCTAATATATGTATAAGAAATAGTGTTATGTCATGAAAGCAATTTGTATCAAGGAAGCAGCCGAGCCAGGTCTAGCTCAAGTCCATGGGTTAGATGCCTGTTGGAACCCTTAAGACCCACACATCTGCCAGCTAATGGAGCAAGACGGTGAAGTGGGAAGTGGGGAGATCACAGGCCAGTGGGGGTAGAGTCACCTGGATCCAAGGTGGCAGAAACATGGCAGGGCATTGCAGCTCCAGGATGGCAGGCCATATCGGTTGCCAATCCTGGGTGTGTAGGAAGGAGAAGGAGGGGCAAGAGAGTGAGCCTTTCTCCACAGTATCTCATATAAAAAGCCCCCCCGCCCCCAGGAGTTATCCTTAGGCTGTCCTGATTGAGAGGTTGGACTCCACCCATGCCTCACATAGGTGCAGCAAGTTGACATAAAATATAACCTTCACAAGTCACTTTGTTTTTGTAAGTTTCTTGTATTGGTGCCCGTGCTGTTCTCAGTAAATCACCTCCTTTCTCCACATTAAAAAGTTTTAATCTGCTAATTATTTCCAAGATGTAATTAATGATTATTTTGGGGCTGTTTACTGTTTGGGTGTGTGAAAATAATGGTAGTTGTTATATGTTGATTGCTTATTAAAAAGCACAATTTTGGAAGTATTTAGCGCCTAGAACAGACAATGATTTTTTTCCATTATATTGTCAAACCTCTTAGGAAAATAACTAAAGAATGATTCAAAACATTTACTTTATGAAAAGAAAAGAGATTGGGATAGCCTCACTCAATTTTCAGCCTGGGCATCTTGAAAAGAAGGCTTTGATTGGTGTGATTGCTATGGGAAGCCTACAAAGGGAGATGTAAGCTAGATGGAAAGATAGTGCCTAGCATCTAAAATAGTTCCTGGTGAAGTCTGTTTGTGCTTCATGGTTGATGGTCTTTGAAAGGGTCCTGTTGGATAATTATGAGCCTTAAGGATAAACTATTTACTCATTTCTACTTCTTTTAGACTGGTAATGTGTATGTGGGATGACCCTTCAAGCGCATCCAATTCAGAATCGTCAAACTCGTGGCCGTGAGTCAGTGCCGATTAATGGCGACCCTACAGGACAGTGTAGAACTGCCCTTGACTGTAATTCTTTATGGAAGTAGACAACTCCATCTTTCTCCCATCTTTTCTCTCAGCTGATAATAAGTTTTGAACTGCTGACCTTGCAGCTCACAGCCCAATGTGTAACGGCTACGCCACCAGGGCTCCTTAGTGAACTTTTATTGAGGGGATCATAATAGCAGCAGCCGCAGTAGCAGCTACCTTATAGTGAGAATTAGGCAGTGTTTAGTGAGCACCTTGTACAATAACGCTAAACAGAGGAAACAGAGACTTAGAGGCTCTCAGGTGACCAGTCAGTGATCCTGGTTTCTCAGTGGTAGAAGCTGGGTCTCTGAGCTGATTCTTAAGTTCAGCATTCTTCCTTAGTGGAGTTCACCATGTCTTCACCGCTTTGTCCTACCTTCCTAGAAGTGAAAACAGACTCAGAAGGGTTAAATGGTATACTCCAGGACACCGAGACCACCAGTGTCGCTGTGACTTGGTGCCCCTATCTTCTGACCCTGTGTTTTAACCGAATCCCAGCAGCTCTGAGGAGGCAGTCGGCAGGCCTTGATGCTCTCAGGCTGTCGCTCTTGTTCCTCTGTGTGTGGACCTGGTCTGTTCTAGTGAAGTGTAAGTCAGCTCAGCATGGCTGCGGGACATGCATGTACAGCGAAATTCTGGTGAGAAGATTTTTCTGTGTGGGGTGAAATTTTGTGAAAGCGACAACTTCACTGTGAATTTGTTTTCCTTATAAATAAGTTTGACACAAACATTCTTTTTAATGCAGTTTCTCAGGGACATTGTTATTTCTCCCTGTAGGTCATTGCTAGAATCGTGGATGGAAGCAGATTCAATGAGTTCAAGGCCTTGTATGGAGACACATTAGTCACAGGTATAAAAGAGAAGACGAACTTACAAACATTTTGTATTACTTTGGAAACAATGAGGTCTTATCTCAAAGCTCAGAAACGCTTGGCATGAGCTTTGAACGGTATAAATACCCCAGTCAGTGGCCAAAAGGAGCTGTGCTTAAAGATTGTTAGCAACGGGATGACTTCATGGATCCAGCGAGTTTAACCAGGTGACAGCTCGATGATGTGGTTGGGCCCTTCTCTGTGACTTTGTAGCTTTAACTGTATAAAAATGTTCTGTTACTAGTGTAGCTAGCAGAAAATATTTGTAATTCTTTTTGTTTCTCTAGATAATGATACTATTTTGAAATTTCCAGCAATCCCTCCTTTGTTCTCTTGTCTCTAATTCTACTAAGTAGTTTTGTGTGATGTTTAACTCCCCCAAGCTGACAAGAGGCTTTCAGAGCTTTCCAGAGCTTCCACAGAGCTCTGATGTCGATTAACTTATGCAAGTATTAGTTTGAGAATACCTGAAATCAGGGAAGTCTATCTTGGGGAATAACCGCAACAAAAAAGGATGTTTGTGAAAATTAATTCATTCGTCTTAAGGGTTACATTTACAGACTCTTGAAGAAAAGTATTAGAAACTGTGGGGCAAAGGAGGGCCCCCAACAAATCATCACTGGTCCTGTAGGTGCAATTGTACGGCGGTAATAAGATTATAGTGAAGCTATAGAGAGCATGAGAGATAGAAGAGAGATTGAAGTAATGGAGTCAGACACAATTCATGGTAGTGTGCTCACCTCAGCCCCACTTGATGGTCCTTGTGGGGAGAGCCCTGGAACGAGAGCAGGAGAGACCCCTTTATTGCTTACCAAGGGTTTTATCTTTAGGGGAGCATGGTTACAGGTAACCACACATCATAGGAAGGGGCAGTACAATAGGTATACACATCATAGGAAGGGGGTGTACGATAGGCATACGTGTGACAGGAAGGGGATGAGTTAGGGGTATGCACATAGGAATGGGAGGGACTAGAGGTATACATGTGACAAGATGGGCGGACCCTAGATTCATGATGGCAGCTAAACCTTGGTCACCCTTGTGTGGGCTTGACCTCTCTGGGGTCACCTACAAGGAAACAGACAGTTACTATCCTTATCAGAAGGGAGTGGGTCCTACTTGTTGTGGGGTAAACAGTGGTGACTGCTTGCTCTAGATGGCTGATAACTCTTAGGGAGAATATCCCCTGACCTACTTCTGTTGACCTCCAAGTGTATAGTCATTTGCCATGTGTAGCAAGCAGCTAAGTTTGGGATACATTTGGGGGAGACAACTTGGGAGAAATCTTTCTGTTTCCCACAAGAAACACATACTAGACCCCTAATAGTCTCTCTTTGACAAATGTCCCAACACATATTGTGAAGTTGGTTTGATCTTCAACAGCTTATAGTAGCCACTCTGAAGACAGCATATCACAGTAGAATAGAAACTAGCTGCAAAAACCCAAATTGCAAATACATGTTGAGACTTAAAGGATAAGTCACAGTATTTTCTCCTGGTCTGATTTATAAGCAAGCAAAGGGCTCAACTGGGAGTGGGATTTATGTTTTTGTATTTTGGTATTTAAGTGATTAAGGGCTTTTTGTTTGATCTATAGCCAGGCTCTGTCACTGGTCAGCTCAGATGCACCCTCAGTGTGAAGCAGTTGAAAACAAGTTAGAGCAGTTTCTGCTTTCTCTAGAGGTGGACCGGCCACCCTGGGCATCTATTTAATGGTAGACTTGCCCCTGGAATACAGGGATGCATCCAGATTCCCCGTCTCTTTTTGATTGGCCTAGAATTCAGATAAGGTTGGGGAAGTCGGGAGGCAGGAAGGAAAAGTGGGGGCTGAGTGAGTGGCAGAGGGGAAGGGGGCAGGGTTGGCTGAGGCGAGTGGGAAGGGCGTGGGGGTGTGCGGTGGGCGTAGGAGAGGGCGGGGAATGGCCATGAGAAGGTTGGGGAAGCATGGGAGTTCAGGTGAAGGGAAGGGAGGAGGAAGCGAGATTTCTCTTCAGAGTGAGTATCGGTGGCAGCTGTGAAGTGTCCTCCAGTTAGCACTTGCCATATGCATGCCCTACAAGTTTCTTAGACAGATTACTTTCTTGTCTGGACTTCAATGTTTGGTCAGGAAGTTGATGAAGGCCCTCCCTCCACTGGTGTACTTATGCAAGAGGCCTTTAAGTTCATGGAAGAATAGAACTAAAAGGTAATGAGCTTTTTCCACACACTTTTTGAAACCCCCTTTTCTAGTGGGGCACGTGTCCTATACAGCAAACCCTGTGCCTGGGGAGCCCTAGCAGGTCCACCTATTTAGGCTGAAGGTCTGTTTGGGAACAGGCCAGGGCATCTTCAGGGCTAGATCTTAGAGGTGAGTGATGCACTCGGTTTCCGTCTCCTTTTGTGGGGGTGGGGCAAAGCTAGGAGTTGACTGATTTTAAAAGTTAACCCCTATGCCAAATTGCTTCTACAAGTGGCACTGCCACACAGGATGTGCACCCAGACTTTTGCTGGGAATTGAGGTTTGAAAGCCAAGGAGGAATCTAGGTAGTCATCAGCTCAGTGTCGGATTATCACATAAAGTGATTAAAAAACCAACAACAACAGCCCACAATAAAGCCAGACCAAGGCAGAGAGTAAAGGACCCAAAGGAATAGTGTACATTCAGTGCTCTTACTTCCTTTCACCAGTTGTTTGGTAAAACGTAGCATGTTTCGCATTTGCATGACATTAATTACATTCGTCATGTTGTACAACGATAGCCAGCACCTCATCCATGACTTCATCCTGAACAAACTGACCTGGGCGAGTTCTGACTTTGGTTCTCTCCGCCGTGGCTTGAAGAGACAGGGCTTTTTGTTCCCGGGACTTTTCTAGCATCCTTTCTCCGACCCACTTCCAGGAGCTTAATTGTGATTCTTGAGTTCCAAGTATTTGGCACCATAACGTAGGCTTTTTTTCTTTTTCACTTCCCTGGTTGAAAAGTCACACTCTTGGAAAGGCTCTCTAATGGAGTTCTTCTTTGAGTTTTCAGAATAATTAGCTTCCCCTGAAATCACCTAGACGTTTCAGTGTCATCAAACCTCACTGTGGCCTTTTGTGGTTCTTTCCCCTTCCCTCGTGTGTGTGTGTGTGTGTGTGTGTGTGTGTGTGTGTGCGCGCGCTAGCTTGGCAGGTGGGCACTCAGCGTGGTAGAGAAAGTGGAAGCACGTCTCTGGAAAGAAGGAAAGACTTGGACACCAAAGTGAAAAGGAGAGTGGCTCATTCTTCCAAGCTTAGCTAGGGCTCTTACTTCAAACTGATGTATCACCAGCGTGACTGTGCTCTTGTCTCCGCCCTCCACCCCCAGTTGTCTTTGCTGCACTTTATTTATTTATCCTTTTTCTTGTAAGGCCTTAACGTTACTGCAGGTCTTTTCCGGCAAGTTAGTCACACAACATGACCAGTAGATCTTAAAGTTGGCTTTTAAAAGACAGTGTGTCTTTGTTTTGCTATATTTCAGTATATCCTTAATGTCTACGTCATAGCAGCTCTCAGGGATATGCTGAATGAAGAGTTGAATGGGTGACACACTCAGCCAGCCATTTCATCAAACTCACCAGCCAGACAAGAGAGTGGTCTTTGCATGCAACACAATTTTCTAGAGAGTCAAGGAAAAGAGCAAAAACCTCAAAACTACCCAGTCTCACAGGGAACCCAGGGCGGATGAGCCCTTCAGGACCAGTGGTGCGAGTGGCGATACAGGGAGGGTAGAGGGAGAGTGGGTTGGAAAGAGGGAACCGATTTCAAGGACCTTTATGTGACCTCCTCCCTGGGGGACGGACAACAGAAAAGTGGGTGAAGGGAGACGTCGGACAGGTCAAGATATGACAAAATAACAATTTATAAACTATCAAGGGCTCATGAGGGAGTGGGGAGCCGGGAGGGAGGGGAGAAAATGAGGACCTGATGCCTGGGGCTTAAATGGAGAGCAAATGTTCTAAGAATGATGAGGGCAATGAATGTACAGATGTCCTTTACACAATTGATGTATGTATGGATTATGATAAGAGTTGTATGAGCCCCTAATCAAATGATTAAAAAAAACAAACAAAACGACCCAGTCTCTAGTACCTTAGGCATAAAGAATTGTGACATGAACTGTTTTAGATTATAGATAGACTTTCTTTACTGTTCAAACTTTGATCTGAAACAAGAATATGCATCAATGTGTATTTGTTATTTTAAATTAAAAGCCCTCTTAAATACATACATCTTTTTTGAATTTTCTTTCGAGGATTTGCTAGAATATTTGGATATCCAATAGGGATCATTGGAAACAACGGTGTTCTCTTTTCTGAGTCTGCAAAAAAGGTAAGTTCTCTTAAAAAGTGTTTTTAAGATTTTTTATTTTGGCTTACTATAATGAATTTTGAAGATTGGTGAGTGAATTAAAACGTTACAGAAAAGCTTTAATATGTTTAACCAATTGCTTTAGCAATCAGGACTCTGTGTGTGTATGTATGCGTGCGCGTATGCTTACATGCCCGCACGCTTTCTCGCTCTCGTGTGTGTTGGAATGAGTTGTTTTCGTGGCTTACCTTAACCTGATGAACGGTCTAGAGCCCTGTGAATAACCAAATGCACTACTTTTAGGAAAGTTCTTATAAAATGCTTGAGTTATAATTTCTATAGAGGACATGGCAAAGTCTAAGAAGCTAAGGAACATATCCAGAGAATTTCATTTTCTAATGCTTCCTGTGAGAAAGTATTCTAAGATCCTCTTCAGGTAGTTTTGAGACAAGATTTGCTTATTTTGTTCTAAGCTGTTACCAGTTTATCTCTGTTCTGCTGCTTTGACAATTTGGAAATGGGATGATAAAATAGAGCCTATTACTGGAGCTTTGGCTTTAAAGGAGGAATTATTGACTATTTTGGCATAATTTTTGCTTTCATTCATTCATTGTCTCAGACGCATCTAAACTTAAGCTAGGTGTAATTCATTTACTTGATAAATTATTTTAATTTTTAAAAGATGCTTAGCCTCTTCAAATGACAAGGGTGTACAACGAGGTAAGAGGTGTCTTATTAATACAGATAACATTAGAGTTAATCCCTTTCGTGTTCTAACTGAGAGAGAATTTGGCTTTGGCCTACTACTTTCTCAATGAGATCAGTTTCCCCCAACGCATTTATTTAGCTAAAACAAAAAAGTAAAAATAAAGAATATTAAAATCATTCATGATCATAGTAGAAACATTTTGTTATAGTTCTTTGGTTCTTTTCTAATATAAGATTGATGTTCCTAGTTATTATATAGGTAATTATATGTATATATTGCTATATAAATGTATACAGAAAGATATGCTACCTGTTTTCATGTAATAGTGCATCTATAGTGAATGTTTCCTTTAGTATTTCTGACATGATGACATTTAATGAATATGCAATGTACATATTTCACTAGATGAAATGTCAGAGCAAGGCCAAACCCCCCCCCCCCACCGCCGGTTGTATTTGTCAGCATGGCACAAATAAGCCTGAGCATTTTGTTTGGCCTCACTCTGGAATTGCGCTTGTTGAAAGAAGCCACAAAGGTCTGTGTGATTTCCTCATGCTTGTAAATATAGTCATATTGAGGTCGAGCAATTACTTTGAGGTTTTGCACCTCTCCAGACCTTTCCAGCAGAGGTAGAGGGATCAGCAGATGGAAAGCAAAACATAGAGGAAAGAGTTTAAAACAGTTTTCTTGGTCCTGTAATCTTTAGGAGATATGAAGAGGAATAGCCATATTTTTGTTCTATTAAGTAATTAATTTCCAGGCTCAAGTTTGGAAAAGCCGGATCGCTTCTCTAATCTACAGTACCACGTGCTCGGGGTGGGGTGGGTGGTGTTGGTAAGCGAACCCACGAGACGCAGTGGTTATGCTTTGGGTTGTGATCCACAAAGTCCGCAGAATGAAACCACCCGCCACTCTTCATAAACAATGGCAGTCTCGGGAACTCACAGGGACAGTTCTACCCTATCCTATGGGGTCAAGATGAGTAGACATCGAATTGAAGGCAATGAGTTTTTTTAGAGTTGGTAAGAAAGATCGATTTGACTGTGATCTGGGTGCATGAAAGGATTTCAGGTGGTTGTTATGTGTAAATGTCTTTCTAGGCCAACCCACCCCTGTTGTTGTTTTTGGTGTGTGCAATAGAGTTGTAGAGTTGGCCCTGGTACATAGCCACCTTCGGGTTTGTCTTCTATCTAATAGTGAAGAACTGGAGAACGTTGATTCGAGGTGCAGGGGATCTCACCGATAGATCATCAGATTGTTCTTCTCTGTTACTTACATTTCCTGGCAGTCTGCAACGTCACGCTGGACTTTCTCACCCTCGTGACAGGTGTCCTACAGCTGGGCCCGAGTGATCACACCCACAGGTGACTGTGCAGCACCAGGACAGCACAAACCTGCAGTCACATGGCCTATTGATAAGGGCTCACCACAGCCAGACTAGCCACGCAAAGTGTACTCTCTCTTATATTTGACTCAGTTGTGTATTTTTAGGATATACGATGATTCTAGATCTGGTAATCCTTCTCTAACAAGACTTTTATTTGATTATAGGGAGCTCACTTCATCCAGTTATGCTGCCAAAGAAATATTCCTCTGCTGTTCCTTCAAAACATTACTGGTAATTAGCAGCGCGCGGACCAGCTCTACAGTAGAGGTGTGGGGAGAAGAGGTGATGATGGCAGACCGTTGAGGGGAAAGCAACCAAGGACAACATTCCGTTTGTGTACGAGGAGGGGCAAACGTTCCTGGAACATTCCATGACCTTTGTTTCACTTTTCCAGAAACTTGGAAGCCTTCTTAATTTTCAGAGTCCAGAGGAGTCAAATGCCCATAAAGAAGTTTGAGAAGGGCCATAGGTGTGGGTTCGTTGGAGGGAGCTGGGGGAGCGTGGGGGCCTGGAAGCCTGGCAGGAAGTCAGGTGAAGCAGGAAAGCTCCAGGGTCAAGTTCCTCAGCTAAGCCCAAGAGAAGAGAATGGATAAAACAGTGTAGGATTTGGCAAACTTCTCAAACTGTTCTAGTACATGCTGTGTGTTTCTGGAGTGGGGTTGAAAAGATGTTTAAGAAAAAGGAACATGTTGAAATGACAAATGTTTTGTTACATGTATCTTTACTACCATTGCAAAGAAAAACAGTCTACCTCACCAAGGGGAGGGGGAAATAGAATGAAATAATAATCAAATATGAACAGAAGTAAAAAATCAGGATCAAACACAAAAGATGCAACTGATAACTTTTTTTTTAAATCATTGTATTGGGGGCTCTTACAGCTCTTATCGCAGTCCATCCATCCATCCATTATGTCAAGCACATTTGTACATATGTTGCCTTCGTCATTTTCAAAACATTTTCTTTCAACTTGAGTCCTTGGTACAACTGCTGGCTCTCCACAGTTATCCTTTGGGTCAGACTAAACTGCCTATTTCTTGTGACCCTCAGTAGCTGTGCTCTGTAAGGTACACAGTCTGATGACAAACTGAAAATCCAAGGAACTGATGCTGTGGGCACTTTGAGTGCACCGGAAGCTGAAAAGATTACAGATGGGTACCCAAAATCTGTATTTAGGCATTTAGCCTCTAAAACTGTGAAAAAATACATTTATTCTTCAATGCTTTCAAGACTGAATCATTTTCTGCTTTGAATTATTTCTTGTTGAGATCATAAGTTTCCAGTAATGAAGGCATTTATATGAACTAAAAATAATAATAATATGAAAAAAAGATCACAGACATTCATCTTGAGCTGCAGTAGTCAACAACCGTGCTTTCTTCCGTAGCCGAAGGAATGGACAGAAAGCCCAAGCTGTAGTCTAAGAAGGAAGCCAACATGGAATTGTTTTTCTTGCAAAAATCAGTCCGGTGGCCATTTCTGACCCCCCAAGGCAGAGATTGGTCATGCTTCCACCCTCCATCTTTCTTCCCTGTTCTGACGCCATCCACACTCCACCTCTCCGCTCCGTTCAATAACCTGTTGCAGTGGCTGCATACTAATTTTGAGCCAACACTCAAAATTAGGGGAGTTTATTATTTATAACAGTTTTATTGGCATATATTTCACATACCATACAATTTAGTGGTTTAAACATTTTCAAAAGAGCTGTGTAATCACCACCACAATCAATTTCAGAATATTTTCTTCTTTCTCATACTCTTATTATTAGCTCCGTTTTTCCTCCCAACCTCCCTGTCACAACCCTAAGAAACTATTGATGCAGTTACGTTCTCTAGTTCTCTATAGATTTGCCTATTTCATACACAGAAAAACGAACAGTGCTATTCTTTCTGACAGCTGGGCACCATCTGATTTCTTCACACTTTGCTATGGCACCCATACCTTTAATGGCCTTTTCATGAGGGCAAGTATTGAGAAGGGCATGGCATAAGAACTAAATGTTCTTAGATTAGGGCTGCAATTATTTCAAGCTCAAAGTCCGTTCTCATAGCTCTGGTTTATATACAGCCCCAGACCACTTTAGAGACATCATCTGTCCTTTTATTGGGGAGCATTATAAATCATCCTACGGGGTTTATTAACGTGCTACCATAAATCAGTATCAGTAAACAGTAAGGATACAGTTTTTGGTCTACAGCAATGCTTCTCCTCAGCCAGCAGCCAGGTCTTCTCTGGTCTTCAGCCTCTCAGCCACATGGTCCCTTGGTCCCGCTCGCTGTTCTGCCTCATAGTCTCATCGTTTCAGAGCTGCTCCTCTGTTCCAGCCCAGGGTCTTCTTGCCTCGGCTTCTGGTCTGGACATGGGATGGCCTCGGCTGCACCCACCACTCTAGGCAGCGATTTCACATGTGTTCCACTGGTGGTGGGTAGCTCCTCTGTGATGACCCTGGGGATTCTCGCTCTTTGCTTCCAAGATAGCACTTGCCTCCTTCTTGTGAGGTGGAGACTCACAATGTACTCCACCTTTATCCTGTCCATTAGCATAGCAGAGAACTCCTTCCAAACTGGGATTGTAGCCACAGGATATAATTTGCAATACATCGCAAAAGGGATTATGGAAATAAGGGTCCTATTAACGAATTTCAATTCACCCTCTTCAATAGAAAATAATGTGTGATCAATAAAGCAAAGTTAGAAAAGCTGGTAAATACCTTAAAATAGCATCTGACATTTTAGTGTATCTTCATGTAATATGTTTTTTTTGACATATCATTTCATTTTTAATTGTTTTTCTCATTACTGAGAAAAACTCCAGCACCAATACGGGTGCATCATGAATATAAGGGGACTTCAAAAATTTTGTGAAAAAATTGAATTAAAAGATAATGAAATTTTTCCATGTACTTTTTGAAGCTCCCTTATACTAGTTGGATTGAATGATGTGATACCGGAAATTTACAAGGCTTGAATAAACAACAACAAAAACCCGTAAACCCATTGCCATGGAATTGATTCTAACTCAGTGAGCCTCTATGGAGTTTTGAGGCTGTCAATGTTTATGGGAGAAGGTAGCCTCTTCTTTCTCCACAAAGCAGGAATGTTGTTTTTGTCAGGCACCTTTGGGTGAAAGCAAGAACACGAAAACCAAACTCACTGCCATCCAGGTGATGGGCACTCACAGCGGCGACGTTATAGGTCAAGAAGAACAGCACCCATGAGTTTCCGAGGCTGTACATGTTTATGGAAGTGGAAAGCCCTGTCTTTCTCTTATGGAGCAGCTGGTGGTTTTGAACTGTGGACCTTGAAGTTAACAGCTCAATGCATGACCACTCTGCTCCCAGGGCTTCTGAAGCAGAAATATTGATGACCAAATGGGCAGGTGAAATTGTGGTTCATAGATGAAATACTTTCCCTGGAAACTGGTAGAGACCAATGGAGCCTGACTTGGTGTGGAGGTGAGACGAGGGAGGAGCCCCCGGCCTGGAGTGCATGATGACGCTACAGAGCATTCTCAACAGAGCTGCGGGGCTCGGGGAAGTAGACCAGTCTTCCCTGACTCCCCTCTGATCGTTGACCAGGGCTGTGACTGACCTTGCTAGCAGACAGAGTACACTGGAAAGTCGATTAATGCAGATGTGGTAAGGTCAGAATTGAACACCGTATCAGTTCTCCCTGTCGGCTCATTTTAAATTTGTTTTCGTTTTTATTATTTTCCGCTTTCTCTGGTCACTAGGAATCAGCATCGGCTGGATGGCAGTGAGTTGTTTCAATCGTTTGATTGGGGCTCATCCAACTCATCACAATCCACGCACACCCCAACTGTGTAAAGCACATTTGACATTCGTCGCCCTCGTCATTCTCAGAACATTTGCTCTCCACTTAAGCCCCTGGCATCAGCTCCTCCCCCTCCCTCATGAACCCTTGATAATTTATAAATTATCACTTTGTCATATCTTACACTGTCCGACGTCTCCCTTCACCCACTTTTCTGTTGTCCGTCCCCCAGGGAGGAGGTTCTATGTAGATCCTTGTAATCGGTTCCCCCTTTCTACCCCACCCTCCTTCCACCCTCCCGGTATCACCACTCTCACCACGTCTTGGCAGTGAGTTTTGGGGATTGAGGTCTTTTTGTGTTTTATTTTATAATTGTTGGTGGGGTTTGTATGTTTTTCTTTATATGAATCCCAGAATCTATAATTCTACAGAGACAGTAACTGATTTAATAGTTTCTTAGGGTTGTGAGTATAGGAATGAAGGAAATGTTCTAAAATTGATTGTGGTGATGATTGCACAACTCTTTTAAATATGTCTAAATCATTGTATTGTACGATACGTGAATTATATGCCAATAACACTTTAAAAAGGAAGTAGAAGGATCCTGTATTTATCGTTTCTTTAGAATCTCACTATTGAATCATTGGTAGGGACTCTTAACATCTCTATAAAACATTAATCTTCACTTCATAAAAATTTTAACACAGTGCTTCAGAAAGCACAGCTCATATTTTTAAACCAGGTCAAGGCGTACCGAAGCCCTCACTGCTGGGCTTGCCGCTGTACTTTTTCCTTAGCTCACCACGTCACATTCTTTCACCATCAAGCTATTGTTTTAGGCTATTTTCCTGAAGATGAATTGCATCATCATAGAAGATCATGTGGCATGGCATGAACTGTCTTAAGAAAGTTTAAAAATTAACTTTTTAGGGGCATACCAGTTTTCTCATTTAGCAATATTAGGGTGAGAGAGCTGTCGTCGAATCAGGTTCGGGCAAAATGTCCCTTACACTATCTTGAGAGAATTCTATCACCCAAGGCTCTTTCTGTTCTTGTAGGGTTTATGGTTGGCAAAGACTATGAAGCTGGAGGAATTGCCAAGGATGGTGCCAAGATGGTGGCTGCTGTAGCCTGTGCCAACGTGCCTAAAATCACAGTCATCATTGGGGGATCGTATGGAGCTGGAAACTATGGGATGTGTGGCAGAGCATATAGGTAGGTGGCATCGTGATTTTATCTGAAACATGTTTCAGTTGTAACGCTAAAAGTTGAACTTATTCCGGTTTTTTGTAAATACAGGAATACATCTGCAAACCATGGCCAATTATTCCATGATCTGTGCCGTCACACTACAGATACTGCGTGGAGGAAATCTGTGATGAGACTGAGGTGGCTTCTTGAAATGCCTCATAATGAAAGCCCCACCTCAGTTTGTCGTGCTGTAATGTGTGTTGCTGCCATGCTGTCTTGAGCTGTGCTTGTGTTAGTCTGGGTTGACTAGAGAAGCATCCAGAGACACTCATATGTATGCAAGAGAGAGTTTTATGTCAAAGGAAAATTGTATATTAAGAAGATATTCCAGCCCAATCCAGATCAAGCCCATAAGTCCGATATTAGCCCATTTGTCCGATACCAGGCTATAAATTCCTCTTCAGACTCATGAAGCCATGCATTGACTCTGAATGCAGGAAGATCACAGGCCAATGGCGTAGAAAGTCTTGTAGATCCAGTGGTGATGGAAGCATCTCAGCGCTGGAGTGGGTCTCCGTGTGGCTCTTTCAGCTCCAGGGTCTGGCTCCATCAGCATAGCTCCATGTGGCTTGTCATCAGTAATACCAAGCAGAGAGAGTGTGTCTGGCCTCCAGTGAGCTATTTATCTCTGTCGTGCCTCCATAGGAGGTCATCAAGCTGCAACCTGATTGACAGGCTAGACTCCACCCCTCCCTGAAGTTGACAGTAGACTATGTAACTGCCACAGTGCTCAAGCAAAAACCACTGTCATTGAGTCTATTCGGACTCATAGCAAACCTGTATAGGGTTTTTTTTTTAATCGCTTTATAGGGGCTCATACAACTCTCACCACAACCCATACACACATCAACTGTGTAAAGCACATTTGTACATTCATTGCCCTCATCATGTATAGGGTTTTTTGAGACTGTAAATATTCATGGGAGCAGATGCAAAAACAACAAAATAGCACATCATCTGATTGACCAAGCTAGACAAATTTTAGGGAGGTAAACTTGATTTTTAAATTAGTATTAATTGATACAGGAGCTGAATAAAGGAGATAATTATACAGTCATCTAAAAAGCAACCGAAAAAAATATGATAAAAACTCTTAGCAAACTGGGAGTAGCGGGGACTTCCTTAATCTGGTATTGTACATAATGTTGAGCTGTTGAAAGCTAATTTGTCTGAGATATGGAATAAGGAAATGATGCCTGCTCTTACCACATCGATTCCTCAGTTTGTACTGGAGAGTTTAGCCAGTGCAGTATGATAAGAAAATGAAGTGAAAAACATAAGTATCGGGAAGGAGGAAATCTGTTTCCTTCTTCCAAGGCAATATAATTGTTTCAATACAGTGCCAAGCTACGGCTTCTTATAATTGATGAATGAGTTGAGCAGGTTTGCTGGCTCTGTGAGTAATAGACTAAAGAGGCATTTTAGTTAGAAAACGAATAAAAAGATTCCATTTATGATAGTTTCAGAAACATGAAACACCTAGGAATAAACCTAATGAGAGATTCTAGAGAAGTACACACAAAAAACTATATGACATTATTGAAACAAATTAAGGTTAATAGAGAAATATACCAAGCTTATGAAAACTTTAGATTTTCCAAAATTTATGAAGAAGTAAAATCCCTCCCAAATGGCCTGTTTCAATTTTATATACATTGAGTTCAGTGTAGTCCCAAACAGAATACTTGTGATTTTAAAATTTGAATCTGAACTTAACATTTTTGTGATGGAATTTAAGCTGTTTCTAAAAGCTTACTTGAATATACAAAGGGCCAAGTATAGTCAAGAGACTTGGAGGAGGAGGAGCAGGAAGAGGAGGAGGAAGACTTGCTCTATCAGAAATCAAGACTCGGTGTGAAGCTACAGTAACCAAAAGGGTGCAATATGTGTAGGACTTGTGCAAGATAGATAGCTAAGTGGATTAGTGGGTATGGTGGAGTGAAAATTCTTAAAAAATAATTTTATTGGGGGCTCTTACAGCTCTTATAACAATCCATACATTAACTGTATCAAGCACCCTTGTACATATGTTGCCATCATTATTTTCAAAACATTTTTTTTTCTACTTGAGCCCTTGGTATCAGCTCCTCTTTTTTCCCTCCCCGCTCCCACTCTTGTGAATCCTTGGTTAATTATATATTATTATTTTCATATCTTACACTGTCTGATCTCTCCCTTCACACACGTTTCTGTTATTGGTCCCCCTGGTGGGGGGCTGTTATACGTCGATCATTGTAATCAGTTCCCCCTCTCTCCCCCTTCTCCTCCCTCCTTTCCTCTACCCTCCTGGTATCGCTACTCCCGTTACTGTTCCTGTCCTGGATTCCAAGTGTCTAGAGCTCTTATCTGTAACTGTGTACATGCTCTGGTATAGCTCGATTTGTAAGGTAGAACTGGGTCATGATGGGTGTGGTGAGGAATAGTACCCTGGATATATGATCCCTTCCTTATGACCCTTCTGTGAGAGGATGTTCAATTGTCTACAGATGGACTTTGGGTCTCCATTCCGACCCCCCCTTGTTCACCTTGATATAATTGTTTTGGATCTTCAAATGCTTGACACCTGATCCTATCAACACCTTGTGATCACACAGGCTGGTGTGCCGTGTGTGCTTTAGGCGTTGGGTGGATCTTGTCTGCAGAAAGGGGTTCAGATGTTGCTTACTGAAAAGAAAGCCTGTCTCGCCCTCAAGAAGTATCTCGCACTGTTGGAAATGAAAGAGGAAAAGAAAATATGTACAGTTTTTGCATGTTTAAATGGATTTTTTAAAAAGATGATTTATTTATGGTTTTTTCCCAAAGTGAATCAGAATCTACTTGTCACACATTTACATGAGAGCTTTCTTCTCTCTGCCACATTGACAAAGGTGGATGATCACATACCCATTGTTGGCAGGGTGTGGGGGACAGGGCCCTTTCCATACGGTTAGTGCTTGTCTGTAGCCATAGCACAACTTTTGAGAACAATTCAGCATTTTCTGTTATGGAAACGTGCTGCAAGTGGGCCAGAGGGGTAATTACAAGAAAGTTTATTACAGTATTATTGTAGAAGTAGAAAATTGAGGCTCCTAGCTAGGACTGTAGCTAAACACACAATTGGACAATAGCCATGTAGTGCAGTACCCAGCCACTATTCAAGAGAATGAGATAGATTTCGGTGTATTAACATTGAAAGGTTTGATTTATTTTGTAAAAAATCATTTTATTGGGGGCTCATACAACTCTATTGAAAGGTTTTGTATAGAGAAATTAGTGTTCCTTATTCTGCTTCTTTGGGTTCTAAGACCCATTGTAATGGTTACATAAAAACTCACAGACCAAAGTCATAATGAAAGGGTTTATTAAAGGAGTGTTCAGGTTGTCATGCCAGTGAGAAATGTTCAGGGTAGTTGTTTACCAGGACAAGTTACAAGTTTTCAGGTCTGCTACTAAATGCCCAAAGGGCCCACCACTCTCTATTATAAGCCACAACCTAAAGGCAACTGAGCTCCACTTCTATGAGCTAGCAAGCCCAACTTCCCCAATAGTACCCAGAGGCAAGCCAGCCTTCTGCACAAAAGCACTCAGCTTACTCCATGGGTTGGGAAGTCCGTGCTCTGGCTCCTGGTTCTGCTGCTGCTCCTCTGATGTGCTAGCTGCCATCTGGATCCAGGAGGTTCACTGCACAGGGATCTCGGGTCTCAAAGGGATTTTATTTATCTTTTTTTTAATGTTCTGGTGAAGCTAAAATAATGATGTTATTATATTTGAATCCATTTGCTTGGATCCAGAATCAGTGCTCATGGAAGAAGCAGCTCATAGAATTCAAGCAATATAAAGCATCAGTCAGCCCTGCACAAGATCTCTATAAAGTATCGAGAGCAGAGATGTCACTTGGAAAATGAAAGTGCACCTGACCCAAGCCATGGTATTTCCATTTGCCTCACATGCATGTGAAAGTTGGACAGTGAATGAAGAAGACAGCAAGAGGAATTGATGTATTTGAATTAGGGTGTTGGTGAAGAATATTGACAGTACAATTACTAGCAGGACAAGCACAACTGCTTTGGAAGAAGTACAGCCAGAATGTTCCTTAGAAGTCAGTATGGTGTTTCATACCTTAGACATACCTTAGACATGTTGTCAGGAGGAACTAATCCCTGGAGAAGCATCATGCTTGACAAAGTGGAAGGTCAGCAAAAAATAGGAAACCCTCCACAAGACATATTGACACAGTGGCTGCAGCATTGGGCTCAAACATAGAAATAATTGTGAGGATGGTGCAGGACCACATAGTATGTTGTTCATTGTCCGTAGGATTGCTGTGTTTGCTCAGTGGTACATAACAATAACTAATACATTTTTAGAAAGCAAAGGAAGACAAGTTATCCACCCATCGGGAGAACTGAGAGTTGTTGATTAGGATTTCGAGGAACTGTCTCTGTAATAGTGTTACATTGTATTATCAAGTCTACAGATGCCTGCATGTGTGTTTAAAGCATATCAGCTGAGCTTCTCAGTTGGGATAATTTAAAGGAGTGGCTCTCAAACTACCACTACACACCAGCATCACCTGGAGAACTTAGAAAGCATATCTTTGCTCAAGCTTCATCCTGTAGATTGGTCTGGGGTGGGTTCCAGGCATTGGGATTTAAAAAAAAACCCAAAACTCAAACGATTGTCATGTGTAACTAGAACTTACTTTTAGGGAAAACATGGGCCTCTGACAGTCAGCAATTGTGTTGTACATAGAATTCATTTGACTACCTCCCTTAACCCTCTTTTTTTTTCTCCCCTTAGTCCAAGATTTCTTTACCTATGGCCAAATGCTCGGATCTCCGTGATGGGAGGAGAGCAGGCTGCAAATGTGTTAGCAACAGTAGCAAAGGACCAGAAAGCCCGGGAAGGGAAACAGGTAAATGCCACAAGTCCTTATCCACCTCAGTGTTTGCTTTTTGCTGGTGCCATGGGGCAGGGCGCCCAGAATCACTGTGTGGCCCTGGGTGGGGTCGGGTTCCACACAATCAATCCTGGGCTTGATTTTGCACAAGAGGGGCTCATTGAAAGGCAAATCAGCAAGTGGCTGCTTTTGAAAATGGGTTCTTTCATCTGTGTTTCTGGTAGATTCTTCTGAGTTCTGGGAATTGTTCGGGTACCCTCTTGCCTCAGCATTGAAACCACATAGTCACTGTCCATCGAGTCAGTTCCGATGCTCCGTGGCTCTGTAGGACAAGGTAGAACTGTCCCTTTCAGTTTCTGAGGCCATACGTCTTTACAGGAGCAGAACGCCTCGTGTTTCCCACCAGGATCAGCTGATGCATTTGAATGGCTGACATTGTGGTTAGCCGCTGAACTCAGCCCGCTACACGACCAGGGGATAAATGGAGGAAGCCTTGTCTCCTCAAGCTTACTGTTCAGGGGTCGTACGGCCAGCTGCCTCGTTTGAGTGTTGGAGGAATAGCCTTCCCGCCGAAAGCGCCTGCACATGCCTCACAGAGTTGTTGCACGGGTGCTGCAGACTTCAAGTGGTGGTTTCACATTTATTTTAGTGCCAACTGGTATCCGGACCGAAGGAAAGGGCTGTCATGGCGGGGGCAGGGTGGGGATGGGAGATGGCATGAAATCCTCTCAGGTATCTCCAAGCTAGGTCTTAGACTCTCTGAAGCCCAGCAGCATGGTTGCCTATTAAGTAGTTGTGTTTTGATTCACTTGAATTCTGAATTCACCCATTTTCATAAATCAGTGGAAAAGCGGAGCAATCACAGTGCTTTCTAAATTCTTGATTTATGCAGCCAGACCTTGTTTGATTATGCTTTGTTTTATTGTACTTTGCAGATGCGGTGGTTTTTGTTTTTCTTTCACAAATTGAAGCGTTGTGGCCGACTTGAGTTGAGCTAACCTTTGGGCGCCATTTTCCCAACAGCATGTGCTCACTTTGTGTGTCTGTGCCACTTAATTCTCACCACCTTTTAAACGTTTTCACAATGCTGCTGCACACTGCTACAGGACAGTGTCAGCTTAACCCCTATACACACTGCAGAGTGAAAAAGTCACCACACTGGCTGCGCTGCAGTCGGCCTTTCACTGGGGGCCTGGGACTGAACCTTTAGTGTCTCGGAGGAGTGCCCATACAATGATCTAGTTGCAGAAAGTCTCAAACCAAATCCATGACCACCGAGTCTGTTCTAATCATAGTGGCCCTATACGTAAGCTGTGTGTTAGGCCTGGTTGACTAGAGAAACAAATCCAGTGACACTCATCCAGGTGTAAGAAAGAACGGTAATTACATAGGGAGAAAATATCCCCGCCCAGTCCAGCTCAAATCCATAAGTCTGACACTAGTTCCTAAGTCCCTCGTCAGACTCCTGCAGCCACATGTAATGATGCTGAGTGCAGGAAGATCCCGGCCAGTGGGTGAGAGTCCTGTGGATCCAAAGGTGGGGGCTCCGACAGCAATCTGGCTTAGGCGAAAGCAGAGAGGGGGCAGGGTCCAAGACCCTCCTTATGAGAAGCCCACACCTTCAAGGAGGTACCATCAGCCCGTGACCTGATTGGCAGGTTGAGTACCACTCCTACACGTTTACATATCTTCAGTTTGATATAAGATTACGTAACCACCACAGACTGTAAATGTGTATGGGAGCAGACATCTTCCTCTTTCTCCCCATTGAGCAGCTAGTGGATTTGAACTGCCAACCTTATAGTTAGCAGCCCAGAGACCAACCCATAGCACCACCTGCACTCCTTATTTACAAAGAGAGGTGATTCATTTGAAACAAATCCCTTATTTTTGGTGTGGGAGTTTTTTAGTTGAAATATTTTTCAGGGTTTCAAAATAAATTCTTATGAAGATTTTTACACCTGAATTAATTATCACTTGCTCCCAGTAATACTTGACGGGCAAGGCATTATTTTCCTAATTAGGGAAACATCTCTCCTCTCCCAGCTCTCTGGGAAGTGGACTGAAGAGGTTATTCAAAGTATGGCTGATGTTTATAACCTGTTAAGCTTGAAAACTTTTTACACTATGGCTGTTTTTGAATGAAAAATGTAAACTTCTCCACCTTTCCAAACAGAGGTTGCTAAATATAATGTAACCCCTTTGTTATATCGTGTAGTTCACACGAGTTACTGTAGCCAGCTGAGTGTGAAACGACTCGATCGCAGCGGGTTTGGATAGGCTTTTTAGTAATTCAGCAATGCCCTATTTTTCAACGTCCCATGAATTGGCTTCCGAGTACGGTGTGTAACGGGGAGATGCGGTGGTGCACTTGCGTTCCTCCCGCCTCCTGTGCGGCACTCAGGCACGTGCACGGGTCGTGTGGAGCCTCCAACGACTCTTATCTACGGGTTGGGCGTTACTGTTCATACAGGCCTGGCTCTGTGGGGTAAGCACTGTTCGGAAAAGCTCTGCTCTGCTTGCTCCTCCTCAGTTCAGAGGCCCACGGGGTGACCTCCCTCCCTGCCTTGCAGTTCTCCAGTGCTGACGAAGCAGCAATCAAGGAGCCCATCATCAAGAAGTTCGAAGAGGAAGGAAACCCTTACTATTCTAGTGCCAGGTAGGAGCCAGGGGCCTCTCGGATGGGCGTGTGTCCTGACTGGGCAGCAGCTTCATTTCCATCTGTGCCCTCCTTGTGGTCCAGCCCTGGGGGAACGCAAGACGCTCTTGTGGTCACACTTGACATTGTGCTGCTGCCTCTTGGAGCGCTGCCCCTCTCCCCTCCACCACTGCTCTCGCTCCTCCCCCTCAGGGGGGCTGGGGGCTCCGGGGCGGGCATGGCGAGGCAGTGCAGCCAGAGGTGGGTGGTCTTCAGGCCCTAGCTCCTGAGCTGTGCTAGGAGTTGGGAAATAAGGAGTCTTAATCCCAACTTTGCCAGTTTCAGAAGTTAGTGATGGTAATTTTCTACCTAAACATGAGAGAAGGTCTTTGACGCTGCGGTGGTAGCCGGGCGCTTATGGGCGCTGGCTGGCAAGTGTGCTGGCATGTCCACGCGATCAGTCCCAGGCAGGCCCTCGCCCCAGCGTCCAGGAATGACCTCACACGCCCGGCTCGCTTTTCCTACACTTATGAGGCCATCAATTACCGGCCTGTCTCGGCTGCAGACTAGCTTTCAGACCGCTTATTTTTCCAACAACTTTACTGTTCTGCATACTAAAGAGTAATCTAAGCTGCATGTCGGTTCCTTTCTCCCTTGGGCAGATGGAAAAAAGAAAACAACTATTTGTGTCTTTTAAAATTAGGTTAGGCTGTGATTTATGCTGTGACTTGTGAAGGCAAACTGGCAGGGAGAGAGGGAACTTCAGTTAGGATCCGTTTCAGTCAGTTGAATGCATCCTTCTTCGGAGTCAGTGAATCTGAACCCCTGCAGGTACAGAGGCTCAAAGAAAAACCCAAACCAGAAAAGCTCACTGCCATTGAGCTGATGGCGGTTTGTTGCAGCCTTTTAGGACAGGGTAGAACTGCTCCGGTGGGTTCCTGAGACGGTAGCGCTCGACAAGAATAGAAAGCCTCGTGTTTCTCCTGCAGAGTGACCAATGGTTCCGAACTTCTGACCTTGTTGTTAGTAGCCCATATGCCTCCAGGGTAGAACTGTAACTCTTTACGGGGTTAGTCTTATCTTGCTCCCGGGGAGCAGCTGGTGGTTTCAAACTCCCGACTTTGCAGTCAGTAGCAAAATGTAACTCACCACCAGGTCTCCTTGAACAAAGACCAAACATACCTCTATTCAAGAGCACAGTTAGTCTCCAAGTTCATATAATACCATCTGGGTTTGTTTTTTTAAGTCTTTAGTTCACCCCTGGTTATGTGTATGTTTTTACAGACAAATTTACAGGTTTTTTGTTATGGTGGGTCACCATTTCATTTAACTAAGAACAAAATATCGGTACAGGCTTTGGTTTGAGAAGTGTACATGTTCCTCCTTTGGGCATCATTTAGACAGCCGTATTCAGTAATCAGGAGAAGCAAAGGAGAGCTCGTGAACCAGAAGAGAACCCTAAGATGAAATATAAAATGCATACTGCAAACTCACCTACAGTTGTTTCACATAGGGTTCTGACGGGCATCCACAGAGACAGTATTACACTACTGAAAAGCAACCTGTTTCATGTGAGCCAATCATTTCTATTTTGGGCCCTTGTTGAGATGTTATCTCCTGAAACAGAGCAAATCCTTTATTATTTTTATGTGTTCATCATCATCATATATAAAAAAATGGAACAACAGAGGATTAACATTCAAGGCAGGAGAACGGATGGCTGAGATGGACCTCTGGCAATAGATGGTAAGGGACAGCAAGGTTTGTCTATTGAGGTACGCCGTTGTTTAACCTCTCGCGAACCTGCTGTGGCAGGGAGACAGTAACTTTCTCTCTGAGACAAAAGGGTCTTCACGCCAGCTGAGGGTCCAGTAAAGCTCAGTGGAGCCAGCAAACGCTCTGGCCTGGTTCGGTGTGGACCTGGCTTGAGCTGTCAAGAGAGCTCCTCCATCATCTGCTGCCTCATCCTCCATAGCGGCTTCTAATCCAGCGGTTCTCAACCTGTGGGTCCTGACCCCCCACCCCGTTTCCAGGGTTGTCCAATTCCTAACAGTAGCAAAATGACAGTTATGGAGTATCAACAAAAATAATGTTATGGTTGGGGGTCACCACAACCTGAGGGACTGTATGGAAGGGTCGTGGCACAAGGAAGGCTGTGAGCCACTGCTGTCAGCCTTACACATTCCATCCACAGCACACCCGCTTTGCTTTGCGCTGCTCCCCTTGCTTGGATGGTCAGAGCTAATCAGGTGTGTCATTAGCACGTCTCACCTGGGGCAGTCTTGTTTAATGAACACCATGCACCAGCCCCTTCTTCTCCAGCTTGCTGTGGGCTGCGGAAGGGGTGTGTGTAATCAATTGACACAGGTGACAGATTACAAGGGCCGGCTTTCCTTTATTGGCTGTTTATACTTCAGAGCGCCTCATATGAATGTTTTATGAGCAAAGATCTGATTCCTGCTCTGCCTGTGTGCTTTAATAATTGATGCTATGTCCAGATCCCAAAGGCAAGTTGATTCAAAGAGAGGAAAATTGCCACCTACTCATAACCTTTACCAAGCGTGATTTCTCATTCATTTTTCTTTATACATTTAAGATTGTCAGAGAAATGCAAACTGAAGTCTCTATATCTAGCACTTTTAAAGTTCTTGTTTTTTTATTGTAGCAAAAATTAGAAGAATTCCATTTGAAGGCATTTTTTAAAGTAAAATATATTGAAACATTCAGTAATTTTCATAGTTTCCTAAGAATTTTGGGGACCTCTGGGCACACCCTCTCTAGTGGAGAGGTGGAAGATTGTTACCGGGGTTCATGCCCTTCTCCACGTTCACAGCAAGAATATGCCAACTGGGTTTTGTACATCTGCATGAGCAGGAGAGGGACAGGACAGTTTTTCCTGAAATAAGTAGCAATATCTTAAAATCAAGGTTTTTGTTTGTTTGTAGCAAGTAGTTGCTAGGCCTTAACATGACATTCTGCTGTGAATTGGGCCTAAGCTCATGCTGCTTTCCCCTCCCCCCCTCCTGGGTTGTAAGACAACGGCAGCACACAGATGCAGATCAGTAGTAGATCCATAGACTCCCCAAAGCACAACATGCTTGGCATTTCTGGGTATGGAATATGGTATGCACGCCTCACGCTGTGACATGGTTAGGTTCCAAACACCACGCCATCATGCAAACATTGATGTTACATGAGAGTCGGGGCCATACCCATCTTCAGCACCCGTGCACTCTCCCTCTGCCCCTCTCCCCTTGTAGTATTAAATTTTCGAGGGGGCTGGCCCCCCACTATTACTACCCATGGGTTCAGTAAGCACAATTGTACGGTTGAGATGTCTATATATTATATTGAAGTCATCGAGAGCATGAGAGGTGGAGGAGAGATTACAATAATGCAGTCAGACACATTTTGTGGTAGCATTGTTCACCTCAGTCCCACTTGGTGGTCCAGGTGGAGAGAGGGGGAAGGGAAAGGGGACAAGGGAGAGAAGATGGGAGAGAGGGGAGGGGGAGAGACCAGCTAGAGCCCAGCGAGAGAGATCTCTATTGCTGACCCAGGCCTATATACCTTTTGGCCGTGCAAGCCCACTAATTACAGGTAAAGACATACAGTCACAGGAAGGGGTTGCACTATAGGTTATACAGCAATGAGAGGGCGTGGTCTAGGAGGGATTGGGGTATACAAGTGACAAGATGGGTGGATCCTAGATACTGGATCGCAGCCTAATTTTGGATGTCACAGAAACTGACTTGTTTCTGGCTCAACTGATAGAGACCATTATCAGTAGGATGTGAACTCTGCCTACAGAAACCTGTCCATTGTCCCCAGCAGCAGGGAGCAGGGCCACCCTTTGGCCTGGTGACTGACTGTTTTCAGGGAGGATGACCTCCCCCCACACTCCCCTCACACCCAGTCGCTCACTGCCCATTGACCGTTGCCTATAGAGCGTGTTGGGTGGTACTAGGGCCCTTCTTTTGCCCCACACCTTCCTGACCACGTGGACCTTGCAGGGGTGGCAGTGGTAGCGGGGCTTGCCACTGCTTCTGGAGCAGCAGGGGCCCACTGTCACCTGGCTGCACCCCAGGCCTCCATGTAGACCCCTGGGCCTCACTGCTCCACCTTCCACTGCTCCTGCAGACAGGTGAGGCTCAGCCACCTGGGCCCAGAGGATGCTGTGGAGGTGGCAGGGAGGTCTCCTTGAAAGAAAAATCTTCCAAGCCCCTGCCTGACTCCTGCAGCCCGGCTCCTGTGACTTTGTCCTGGCCTCCTGGGAGCTGCCCGCCCATCCTGTGATCACCTGGGAAACACCACCTGTGGCAGCCTCTGTGAACTTCTCTTTCAAACCTGACTCTGCTGCGCCCTCTCTTCCCCCGGCTACTTGTTAATGCACAAGATAGGAGATATGTTACTGTTGTCGGAATGTGAAATGTCAGATGTCGGGAAATGAGCAGAAGTATATATCAAGGGCCATTTGGGGGTGACCTTGTGATAAATCACGTCTGTCTTTGTCTTTGTTAGGCTCTGGGATGATGGGATTATTGACCCAGCGGACACCAGAATGGTCCTGGGTCTCAGCATTAGCGCAGCCCTCAACGCCCCCATCCAGAAGACCGAGTTCGGCACCTTTAGGATGTAACTGGACTGAAGCTTTCTCGGTTGGACATGCACCCAAAGTTACCATATTCATAGCCTTAAACCTTTAGGACTTTTTGAACACGTGACTATTTAAATTGTTTTCTTACACCACACATTGTACTTTTCTACTTCAAAAAATGACTGAGGTTATTGGTGAAGCTGAACTTAAAATTAAAAAAAATTTTAAGAGAAAGATCTCTGTGTCCTCGTTTTATCACCCACAGTGAAGAGCACGAATAGTGTGCGGTTCTCCGTTGTGGTCCACAAATCGTATTGGAAATCCCAGGTACTATTGGGGTTGCGAACAGAGAGTTGTATTTCCACTGCAAAGAGTACGTTGCTAATTATACATGATTTTAATACACTGATTTATAAAAAGCCATTTATTGCTTCTCCCTCTGGCCGCCGTGCTGTTTTCTCCCCACCGTAGCCAAGCCTGTGTGCACTGTGAGCTCTGCTTCTGAACCGGTCCCCCCACCCCACCCCGCCCCTTCCTCTCCACTACCAACAGCTCGGCCTCGGTCCCAGTTGACCTTCCAGTTGCTGAAACCAGTGGGTTCTTTTCCATATTCATCTGATTTCACTCTCCGTAGCAGTCTTACTTTGTCTTTGAAATGCTGTTCGCAGCTTCTATGCCTTCACGCCGGGTTTTCTCAACCACATGGGCCATTCTTTGTTGGTTTTCTTTGCGGTTCTCTCCTATCCTTATGTTCCTCCTCCTCATACGTGATTTGGACTTGATGGGGTTAGAGCTTCTTACAGAGTTCCACCTGATTCCTCTGTCACAAACTCATTGCCGTATTTCTGTAACAGCACTGCCCTGCTAGCAGGTAAACTGTGAGGGCAAGGATCCTCTTTCACCCTGTCGTTCCGTGCCTGGCACTGTGGAATGCCCATGTATCTGTTGAATGAATGAAAAATCCATGTTGTAATCGATATATATCGGACCTAGTTTTGTTTTTTTTAATAAATCATTTTATAGCCTCATAGTTTGTAAAATTAGGTCATTGATGATAGTGTTTTCCTAATAAAATGAATATTTCAAATACTTGTGTGTGGTCAATTTAGGATTCATTTCTGAGCTAGGAAGTTAAAATTTTTTATAAAAGGGGTAGATAGATGATCATATTCTTCATTTTCAGAAAGAACACAGTAAGTATTGTAAATAAATCTTTTAATTTATAATTTGCATCCATGTCAGAAAATAAGAGTATTTACTAAGATTAGATGAAATGCCTTTGCAGGAACCATCCCCAAGTTAAGGATAAGTGGGTATGTTTGGAGTTCTGCCTTTATTCTCCTTCCATCCAGTCCATGCTGATTCATAGTGACCCTATAGGACAGGGTAGAACTGCTCTTGTGAGTTTCCGAGACGGTCACTGTTTACAGGAGTAGAAAGCCCCATGTTTCTCCCAAGGAGCACTGGTGGTTTAGAACTGCTGATCTTAGGATCACATCTGAACATGTAATCACTATGCCACCATAACTCCCTTCTGCCTTTATTAGAATGTTTCTAAAACCATATTGGAACTGTAGTGAGTAATGTGTTGAGCTGCAAATTGCAAGTTCAGTAGTTCAAAACCACCAGCTGCTCCTCGGGAGAAAGATGAGACTTTCTACTCCTATAAAGGGTTACAATCTCAGAAATTCACATGGGCAGCTCTACCCTGTTTATGGGGTTGCTAAGAGTTTGGGTTTTGAGTTTAGATCCAGTAATAATGGTAAATGTTTTTCAAAAAAAGGCTTGTTTTAACATTTTCATGGACAACATGAGAAACTTGGACTTTTAAAAATTCAGAGCTTATTAGTGTCTAAATTTGCCTCTGTGGGTACTTAAGAATGAGAGAAATGATTATTTTCCAGTTTTTAAGAAAACGATTTTCAAAACAATTTATATAAATTTTTTTCTGTATTAGCAGATGGTACCATGGCAAATGTATA